GAACCAGATCCCTGGTCTTTCTCTGAAACGCACTGTATGGAATCGAGACATAGCAATTGCTAAATGCTGCCCGAGCATCATCGGGCAGCTCTCAATGCAAACCGACTAAATGTACTTAATAGTGATTTTAAAACAAAAAACAAAAAACAAAAAACACTGCAAATACATATAATTAGAATTGATTTAAGGATCATAGACTCAAGGACCATGATATTGCTTAAGCTCCAAATCATATTTTTGGAATTATGTTTCAGTGGTGAGTCTATCTAGAGCTTAAAAGGTGTTTTCATAGTATTTGTGCTATTTTGAAGGCCAAGTCAGACTTCTAAGAAGATGGGAGAAGATCATCATTGGTTTGTAGAAAAGAACAGAAACAACTTCCAGGCTCTCAAGCCATTGATGTCAAGCAAATTTTTCTTCAAGGTTATCTCCAAAACTAGTGCCTCCACCCCACATGAAATTATGATCTAATAAGAATCTCCTGTTTCAGAGCTAAGCTATTTCTTTATAAGAATTATTTATTTAATTTCATTTATTCATTCATTTTAGTTTGACCAAACACACACACACACACACACACACACACACACACACACAGAGAGAGAGAGAGAGAGAGAGAGAGAGAGAGGGAGGGAGAGGGAGGGAGGGTTGGGGAGGGAGAGAGGGTGAGGAAGCAAGTCACCAGGTCCAGGACTTGAACTGTGGTTGGCCATGTGAGAGTGTCCAGTGCCTTAAACACCATGCCACCTGCTGGCCCCCCACTTTTTTTTTAACCATTAAGTATTTGATAACATTTTTCCACAATTTGGGGTGGGGGCGTTGGCAGTGGTGATTAAATACAACCACACAAAACAAGTCAGTGTGCTCTCACATCAACACAGCCCAGAAGTCCACACTTGATTAGCTCTGTGTGTGTGTGCTAATGTGACAAAATCACGTGAAAGCGACTGTTTCTTTTGATCCAAATGACCAAATTTTAAAGGTCTCCATACAATGCGGAAGGCAACAGCAAAATCCTCAGTGTTTTAAGCTTTAGGTATTATTACCCAACGTTGGATTAATAGTCCTTGTATTAGGTTGTCGGGAAAGTCATGATGTATTTTTCTATGCAAAAATGCATCATGACTTTCCTGGCAAACCAATAGCTCACGTCAGTGAGCTTTTTCTAACTCTGCACTTCAGGTAAAAAGGCCTGGGTTTAAGTCTTCCTAAGGCTTCCCAGGAGTACTGAGCTTTGGAAAACAAAAACAGAACAAACAACTTACCAAATAAAACTCCCAAATCGTTAAGTCCAAAATATGAGAATAATTTTGCATGATCACAAATAATGGATAAGGGAACCAGCAGTTAGCGTAATGGCTTTGTCACTGGACTCCCACGTAGTCGACTGTGGTTCGCGTCCTGGACCCGGTGGCTTAAAACTCACGCCAGGTGCGTGTGCATGCGTGCCCAAGATCCCGAGAGGAGAATGGAGGAGAAGGGATTGCGGCGTGACCATCCCCCCTGGGGGGTGATTTCTCGCTTTCTGTCTCTATGTCTCTCTCTGTCTGTCTGGCGAGCACACGCGCCCTACAGTGAAAATCTCTCCAAAAAAAAAAAAAAATGGATAAATCTCTACAACTGTTAATGTGTCAATCAGCCAACTGCAATTCAACAGAAGTCATTCTGTTATGTTTAAAGTATATTAGGAATAAGCAGTTGTTTCTCACTAGTGCTTGATACAATTGAGGGAGGATGTCTCTGAAGTAAGAATGTTTGGGGTGCTTCAAATTTTTTTGTAAACTTTTTCTTTTATTCATGAAAAAGCATGTGTGAGAGACAGAGAGACAGAGATGCATGAGCACCCTCCAAAGGGTCTGGCTACACTGTACTCTCCTTTCTCCAGTCCTTTAGTCCATAGGATGTTAGGCACGTGCACACACGCCTGGCAAGTTGACTGGGCCTGAAATTTGAACTGGGGGTCCCATGTGGAATCTGGCTTCTTTTTGAATAGCACATTACCTTATGCAATGGAGGGGTCTTTTAAGATTTTAAATTGTCTTGGGAACCAGCAGTTAGTGTAATGGCTATGTCGCTGGACTCCCACGTAGTCGACCGCGGTTCATGTCCCGGACCCGGTGGCTTAAAACTCACGCCGGGCGCGTGTGTGTGCGTGCCCAAGATCCCGAGAGGAGAATGGAGGAGAAGGGATTGCGGCGTGACCATCCCCCCTGGGGGGTGATTTCTCGCTTTCTGTCTCTATGTCTCTCTCTGTCTATCTGGTGAGCGCACACGCCCTATAGCGGAAAAAAAACTCTCAAAAAAAAAAAAAGATTTTAAATAGTCTTACGTGGCAAATGAAACAAGTTTTACAAAGCCGTTTGCACCCAATTGTTTTGCTGTTTCATGGAAGTCATTTAAAAGTCTTTTTGCTATTGAACAAGAGGTCTGAACCTAGTGTAATGCCGGATGCAGCTCCCCTTTACACTTGTCACTGGCAAATTTTATGCTGAAAAAATTAGATTTTAAAATTAGCACTTGCCTGGGAACCAGCAGTTAGCGTAATGGCTATGTCGCTGGATTCCCACGTAGTCGACCGCGGTTCGTGTCCCGGACCCGGTGGCTTAAAACTCACGTCAGGCGCGTTTGCGTGCATGCCCAAGATCCCAAGAGGAGAATGGAGGAGAAGGGATTGCGGTGTGACCATCCCCCCTGGGGGGTGATTTCTCGCTTTCTGTCTCTATGTCTCTCTCTGTCTGTCTGGCGAGCGCACGCGCCCTACAGTGAAAATCTCTCCAAAAAAAAAAGAAAAAAAAATTAGCACTTGCCTCTGTCCAAAATTTTCTCAGCAGGTGATGGCCAGAAGGCACCCAGTATTGATCCATCCTTTCAGCTGCCTTCCTGAATGGACCATGTATCGTGTTCTTTTTGTTTAGGTGTGGTTAAGCTTTCCTGTACAGTTGACTAGCTTTTCCTCAAACTACCCACAGCTTTAAAATAGTGCTCCCCATCTCCCAGATAGCAAAAGTCACCAGAGCAAAATCACCGCAACTAGCTCTTTTACCTTGAAGCTATGCAGTTGTGTTGGGACTCCGTGCATTGGTAAGCCGGAATTCTAAGATGATTCTCTAGCTGTAGGATGAGATGTGGACCTAAGGTGACCAAGGCACAGGGCCTGCCTGTCTTTAAAACGGCCTCCAGCTGCGTCCGAGGAGCAGCATCCTCTAGTCCGTCCTTCCTGGTTGCATGGCTTCATTCTGATGAGCAGCACTGACCAGGCACTTCATGGAGATGAGAATCCATGCTCCAGTGCTGTTTGGGCAAGAAGTTCTCACTGGGATCAGGTTTGAGAAGGAATTAGTCGGGACTAGGGATAAAAGGTGACAACTGTGTGTTTCTGTTTGAGTTCTTTATAGAATTCTTGAAATCTATCTGAAAGAAATATATTGAAAGAGAAATGAAAAAAAAAAAAAGTGGGGAGGAGGGGGAGACTGTGGAAGAGGTGACTAAAAACAGACTTCAAGGAATAAAAGAATTTATGTCATTTTCAAAGATTTAGATTTTAAGAAAAGAGTCGGCAGCTTTAAGTCTAGTTGTCAAGTAATAAAATTACTCTAAAGAATGGGGAGGAAAACATCATGAAGGATGAAGCTGCTAATGCACGGGGGAAGAGGAGGTTTTGGTAAAAATGAAAGTGCTAAGGGGGTCCTGAAAACTTTACTTCCTTGAGACTTTTATTGTTCCTATCCAAAATCAATTATGTGACATTTGCAGACAAAGAAAGCATTTTCAAGGAACAAGGGGGGAAATCCATTAGAGGTTTTTATCCTTCATTCATATTCTCAGGTACAGCTGACACGCCTTTCCCCCTTGAATGTTAATGGCAGAATTCCCTCAGAACTAAGGGAATTAGTTGGCCTCTGTCTGGGTCACTGAGAAGTGACTCTGGAGGAAAACTTGCCGTGTTTACCCATTCTTCTGGAGGTAGAAGTCATATCTGCGGGGACACACCTCACAGAGCCTGAGCAGGGATCCGAGGTACACCATTATCCACCAAGAAAGTGGATAGGATCGCTAACCCCTAGGTACATCTCCAACTACTGAGGAGATTTGCTTTCTACCCTGGTGGAACCGTCAGTGCTCTGCATATTTAAATTCAGTTCTGGAGCTGGAACAAGCTAATCCCCTTGGCACCCTAGAGCATCTGATAATTATTCATTTCTGTTCATTCCCAAGAGTGCCTTTCCTGTACAAGTGTGGGTGTCAGCCTTTTAATAAAAGGTGTAGCACAGGTTTAAGTAAAAGCAAAAGTTAAGCATTGAGGGTTTACAGCCCTTAGATAGAAAAATATTTCTCCTTTCCCTCCCCATCTCTTGCTTCCAAATAAAACTCACCACAGTCATTTCTGAATTTCTGGGAGGTAAAATGTCATACACACCTCTTGGGAAGATACAGGACAGCAGGAGATAACCACTGGGAAATCAGGGAGGATCACCACATGGCAAAGAAGCCAAAGGCTGCTGATGTCATTTTCCCACTTTGCTCATTTACCTCTTGACTGCTCAGATTTTATGCCACCAAGTTTGAAAACCCATCCTCCAAAACAGAGGTCGACAGTTTGGAAAACAGTAGTAGTTCATATGCAAATATGTGGTATGTGCCAGGCTTTAAGGCATTTTTAGAGATACCATCTTCAACTGGGCTCTTTATGGTTTTTATCTTCTCCCATATTCATCTTCACCCATCATCTTTCAATACTTGGCCAGCGTTCCTTAGACTCAAAAAAAAAAAAAAAAGAAAAGAAAAGAAAAGAAAGAAAGCTGGGAAACTCTACTTATTTAATCATAAGAAATATTTTGCAAAAGCCAAAACATGTAATAATGAACCACTGTCATTTAGGGAACATTTGCACCACGGAGCGTGTCCAGTTTTCTAAGGGCATCTGCAGTAGACCCAGAATGTCTGTGGCTATAACAGTGAGTTCCCAGCTACCGTATTTCAGGACCTGGCAGTAGTTCTTTAGTGTTTATCCAGCCCATTCTGTGTCCTGAGGACAAGTTACAGAATTGGGGCTTCAGAGAATCCAGCCTAGGGATGTGGTTGTGCTCATATAAAGGATAAGACTACAGGTAGCCAAGGTAGACAGCAAAGAAAGTAATGGAAAGCTGCTTTGGAAAGCTCTAACCACCTCAGTCTGGACCCTGGGAGGGTGGGCAGGTGCAGATTCGTGACCCAATGCTGTCAACCACCTCTTCTTCTGTAGCCCATTCGCTCAGAGCCTGCTGCCACGTGTGTTTTCCTGGGTTACTCTGGCAGAGGGTAAATGCTGTCTAAATTAAGTGTTCACTGTGGGAAAGGTATGGTGGTGATACTGTTCTAGAGGAGAAGATACACTCTCAAAGGGCAGGGAGAGCCTGCCTCGCACACTTGTTGCACTAACCCATAGCTTGGCCTGTGTTAGGTGCTCAGTTAATGTTTGCTGAGTAAAGAAGGGAATGAAAGGAAGAGGAAGCCCTGCTGTTGGAATTGAACCTCAAAGGGGGAAAGTGGAGACTGGGATGTTATATCCAGGAGCACTGGCAGCCAGGGTATGGCCTCCATCTCCTAGATTGTAGAGAATTAAGGTCTGTTGGGGGCTTGATAGTCCTGGTGTTGACCTGTCACAAGGTCAAGTCTCAGAAGAGTCTAAAAATTCTCCCAGTTTCCTGTGGGAAGTCCCCGCTTCTGACTCTGTAGCCTGGCAGCTTGTGATGAGCCATCCTGTTGGTGATTCACCTGAATCACACTTGGATGTGTCTCCCCTTTCCTTTCAGATTTCCAGATTCCAGGCGGGGGTAGTTTCCAAATGGTTGCGCATTTCTTGAGACCTCAAGAAGAGGCAGACAATGAGTACATATCTGGAGACACCCTGGCACGCCAAGCTTGCCTGTGCTAGCAAAGTTCCAGAAGTCGTCACATGTATTTTAAAGAAAAGCTTCTGAGGCCTGTCAGTCCCAGACTGGGATAGCAGGCACAGAGAATATACTTTGCTGAGTTTTTGATTCAGCCAACTTTATACTTTCAGGAAAAAGAAACAAAAAAACAAAAAAAACAACCCACTAAAGCCTTATGGTAGGGTTAGTCAACATGAACACTTCTCCTCTAATTCACAAAGACAATCAATCATTAACTTGACAGGTTTCCCAGGACTGTGCTTTGCTGTAAGACATAGAAAAAAAAAAAAAAAGAATAAAAGGTATGGCATAATCCCAGGAAGGACTCAAAGGGACTAGTAGGTTTCTATTAAGAAAGAAATCCAGTGTGGGACTGAACCCTTTTTTTTCTCTGGGCACACAGTGGGCTCACTTGCTATTTTTTCCTTTCAGAGAATCTATGATTTGAATTTGACCTAGGAACTTTCCAAAACATTAAAATCAGATTGCATTCTACTACCTCCACCATCAGTCCACCATGGTCTTTGATTCAAAGAAGGCTACTCCCTTCATTTCTTTGGAAGAACTCTGCCGAATGAGAGAATGTGTACACGGGTCAGACAGAAGCCTCCTGCATTTGAGTATTTGTATATGTATGTGGGAGGTTATGCGTAGGTACGAGCGACCAAGAACTAAGACATTACAATCACCAGGAGCCTCTCCTGCCTCCCTTTGGTGCTGTAAGTCATCCAGTTATTCTGTAGTGTCCAGAGGTTAAGTCTAACAGTATTGTGGCCAAATTTACACTGATTTGTCACAAATAACTGGGCATATACTACTAGTGGAGTTTGTCTTAGACAGTCTGAGCCAGAAATAAGACAAGATTTATAAAAGAAAAGGGAAAATGCTTGTTTTCTCACATGTGCTGAATGTGCTAATTTGTCTCGGTTTAGTGCTCTCATATAAAGTGCTTAAGAGTTGGACAGAATACCTTTAGACATCATAACTAACAAATCGAGACATGTTTCCATTCCTACCAGGGCATAATATTGTGAACACTTCCACTGAGATTGCAGAACTGCTGTAATTTTTTTCTAAAACATCATGCCATCTGCACACATAATAAAATAATCCAGTAGTTGCCATGCTAAAACAGGACTTCTAGTGAAGGGCACAGACAGCTCCCTAAAGGGAGCTTGAGTTATGCACAGTGATGAAAACTGGAAGCAATTTTCCAGCTAATGGTCTGCCAATGACCACTTGGAACGAGTTGGCACTGTATATTATGCACCTCATTTAAATTCCACAGCAAACTAAGATTTTTCCAAAGCCCATAATCTTGACTGAATGGGTGTTTTTTCAGTTAATCCAGTTAATCTGTCAATGCTCCAAGGATCTCTTCTGGCAGTGCCATGAGTTAGTCTTTCTGTGAGGAACAGGCCATGTTCACATCAATTGGCAGGACAGCAGCTTGGAAGGCTAACCGTGTTTATGGAGAACCCTCGGCTGAGGCTGCAAGAAGAAAAAGGGGGAAATATGGTAAGTTATTTCCTTTATAGTCTCAGGTACTGATATGTAGTAACTATCTTATTCAAACAAACATGAACAACCATAGATCAAAGAGAAAGTTCTAGCCCGCCTAATGGTTACTCAGATCCAGAACTGTTTATGTGGCTTATAGTCCTGGAATGTCCTTGCATCATTTGGCAGGCCATAGAAGACACCCATCTCAGAGATGGGTTAAAGCCTCTCTCTGGAAGAGAGGGCCAAACCAGATCTCTGGAACCGACATCCACCTGATGATGGGGCTATGGATTGGGGAACCGTTTCCCATAGTATGAGAGTTCATGCATTGATTTGATCTGAAACAAAATCAGATTGGGATGGTATGAGCTTTGTTGTTGCTGCTGCTGCTGGTGGGGATGATGGGGATGAAGGATGGGTTTCATTCATCAGTATTATTTCCTGTGATAAAACCTAGAAGGAAATAGTGTAGACAGTATGGCTGTAGCTTCTGAGTTTTCCAGTTGAAAGTCAAATTGGCTGAGCCGCTTAGGAACCAGACAAAGTCATTAAAATCTGACCAGAGATTGAACTATTAATACTTCAACTGCAATACCGCTTTTGGACTTGGGAATGTGGGTTCAGAGACCATTTTTCCATTTTGTTATCTGGGTATTCTCTATAGATACTTACACATGGGTCTTCAATAATTATTAAATGAGGGGCTGGCAAGTGGCATGATGGTTAAGGGCACTGGACTCCCACATGACCATGGTTCAAGTCCTGGACCTGGCGGCTTGCTTTCTCACACACTCTCTCTCTCTGTCCCTCTTTGGCCAAATTAAAATAAATAAATAAATTTCATTAAATAATTATTTAAAAATAATTATTAAATGAGTGAAAATAAACATTTTGCTTAGAAAATTTTTAAAAATTGCTTAGAAAAAGAAATATTTTATTGTTTAATATACAATATATTTAACTTTATTATTTAATATTATTTATAATTAATTAATTTTTATTATTTAATAACTATGGTCAATGGGAAGGAAGGATAGCAACAATCTTAATATATGAAAAAAATCTACTTAAGGGCCAGCAGGTGGCTTGGTGGTTAAAGTCCCACATAGTTGACTAGAGTCCAGGCAGTTTGAGAATCACGCCAGGAGCATGTGTGTGTCTGCCCAAAATCCCAAGAGGAGAATGGAGAACGGATTGCAACATGGCCAACCCCACTGGAAGGGGGTGATTTCTCACTTTCACACTCTCTGTCCCTGTGGCTCTCTGACTAGCACACATGTCCTGTGGAGGGAAGTGGGGGACCGAACCTAAGAAAAAAATCCTACTTAGTTTTAAAACTATTATCTTTCAAATCAAACTAGTTTTCAACGCATAAGAGAAAACACATTTGTAGGCAAATATTTGATTAAAACTTGCTACTTCTGAGAAAATGCAAGAACAAAAGGCACTCAGTAGATTAAATATAAAATAATAATGTATACTTCCAAAAGATTTTAATGGAAGAGTACTATTACGTTGCTGATGGCACTGTAAACAGGAACGAAGAATTAAATCTATCTAAAAACCAGTAAAAATGCATATTCTTTGGCCCAGTGATCCCATTCCTAAAAGAATACCCTAACAAAATATTCTAAATATAACAAAAGGTATATGCACAAATATGTAACCTAGAGGTTATTTACAGTAGAGGAAACAACCAGTCTCCTATTGTTGGAAATTTAGTAGAAGTAAATTATGGCACATTAACCAGATGGATTACATGATACTAAAATAATACTAATTATGACTATATAGCAACATGGTAAAGTTATGATATACTGCAATGTAAAACTTACATATATGCATAGAAAAGAATTGTAAATGATGAAGGCACTAGCATTTTTATTATCATAATATTTGGTAAAACAGTTATAAATTTAGGCTACAAGGGTGCAAATTTGATCCATGAGTATGAACTCACTGAGGCATCATGATTGTTTCCATTCACTAATACGCCTAGCAATTTCACTAGCAGACACACCATAGTATTACTACCTGGGAGTCAAAACCAGTGTGGGGGCCAGAAGGTGGTATGGTGGTTAAAGTGCTGGACTCCCATATGGCAGACTGCGGTTTGAGTCCCAGACTTGGGGGCTTGCTTTCTCACTTTCCCTTTCTCTATCTCTCTGGTGAATGAAAAAACAATACTAATAAATTAATTAAATTAAATTAATAATTAAAAAATAAGACATTAAAAAAATCAATGCGGGTAGACACCTTCTGCTCAGGTCAATCTGTAAAGGAAATAATACAGTGTGGGAGAACAACTTGGAACTCTAGGAACCTGACACAGTATGCCAGACTTTTGCTAAAATCAGACCCAGAAAGGGTGTGACTCGGGAAAAGAATTAAGAACAACCTATAAAACAAACAAACAAACAAAAAATAAAAAGAGTAATAATAGTAAAGAGTGAACCCTAATGAATGACTGTAATTCAAGTAGTCAGTCACGAAATAATAACCAGGTTTATCTTAGCTGCTGCCCCTCCAAGTCACCATCTTTTTTGACATGGGCCGCTTATAGCTGACAGAAAGCAGATGTGCCTAATTTTAGCATATAATAACACCTACACTCGTGGACATAAGATGAGCCCATTATAATTTAAGGTTCTTTAACCTATGGTTGCCTCATACTCTTCTTATAATAGAATCATCTCCATTTTATGGTCAGAGAAGTTTAGTCCCATAAGTGTACTCCCAAGGTCTCACAGCTCATAAGGATCAAAGAGGTATTCAGACTTTTCGGAACCAGCAGTTAGTGTAATGGCTATGTCGCTGGACTCCCATGTAGTCGACCGCAGTTCACGTCCTGGACCCGGTGGCTTAAAACTCACGCTGGGCGCCTGTGCGTGCATGCCCAAGATCCCGAGAGGAGAATGGAGGAGAAGGGATTGCGGCGTGACCATACCCCCTGGGGGGTGATTTCTCGCTTTCTGTCTCTATGTCTCTGTCTGTCTGGCGAGTGCACGTGCCCTATAGTGAAAACCTCTCCAAAAAAAAAAAAAAAAAAAAAAAAAAAGAGGTATTCAGACTTTGGAGTGTCCCACTCTAGATGACATCCATGAATGACAGGAACAAATATAGAAAATATAAGTATTGTAAGTATTTTCTTTTTTTTCTTTTTTTTTGGTTTCAAATATATATATATACATATTTTTTTAGAGTGCAGACACTCAGTATATATTAAGTGGAGACATACAATGCCTCTCCTTCATAGCATGGCTTGCTTCACTCAGCAGTAAGTCTTCCATATTCATCCCCTTCCTTTCAAAAGCCAGGGTTTTGTGTTTTTTTTTTTTATGGATGAATAGTATTGAGTATATGTGCCACAGTTTTTACGTATTGTAAGTATTTTCTAAGTTGTGTTCTGTGCTTATCCATAAGCTCAATCAGCACAGTGCTGGACAGGAAAGAAAACTGGAGGTTAACTTAACTCATATGAGAAAGAGTAATGAGATACTCCTGTAAGACAAAAGAAGAGGCTTCAGAGACATGAATTGAGGGTTCAGACAGTGACATGGAAGGCTTCATAATGAGTAGATCTGGGAAAGAGGTACGGCCTCTTTGAGTGTACTGGGGCAGCTGTCTCCTTTGCCATCTTCCCATTGCACTCTTCATTGCTCTTTGAGGTTTGGACTGTTAGCACTGAGGCTCTTTAGAATGGGTTGCCATGTTAAGTTGGGCTCTACATGGGAACAAGAAGTTCCTGTGTACTCAGGCTGTATGTGCAAAAATTGTAGCTAAAATATCACTTGAACCTCAGTATTTCTATCATAGATGGGTAGTGATGGATTCTGCTTCATTACTTTGCAAGAGATTTTGTTATCTGCAATTTTGCCTTTGAGTAGAAAAAAGCTATAGGAGGTCAAAATGCAAAATGGCAGTTTGCATTAGACACCTCTGGTTCTGTAAAGAGGGAAAGGGGTGATCTCTGATCTGGTTTACTTTTGGCACCATCCAGTGCTTTAGCCATTCCAGCTCCTTGTTCCTCATAGTCACCAGGGCTGTTCCAGGACTTTGCTCCACCTTTCATTCTGCCTAGGTTGCCTTCTTTGTATACCCTCTGACAGTAGCAAACACCCATACCTCCACCTTTCAAGGCCTCCTCAAGTGTTACATCCTTTTTGAAGTGTACTGTACCCTAGATATAGGGTAGAAAGAAAGAAAAGACAGAGAAAGAGAAAGTGAGGAAGTACCCACCCCCTCCAGGGCCTGGGGAAAGGGAGAAGACCACACTGCAGTCCCTTCTCCTCTATTTATCCTCCTGGGATTTTGGGAAGAATCACCCTTCCAGGGGGCATGAATATATTGCAATCCCTTCTCCTCCTTTCTCCTCTTGGGATTTTGGGCACACACTCATAAATGCCTGGCATAATTTTCAAGCCACCAGCTCTGGGACTTGAACCACACCACTCGCCAAGTGGGATCCTAATACCTTAACCTCCACACCATCAGCCAGCCCATGAACACTTGGTTTTACTGTAGCCATCACTCCTCCAAATATTTTTCAGAGTGGTGCCATGTTTTACTGTTGTTCCTAATGCAATGTGCTATGCCAGGTATACAGAAATAATAAACAGTTGGAAAAGCAACAAAGAAAGGAATAATGTTGGGGTCTTGGTTTGATTTAGTAACTAATGTTGCTCAAGATTCAGTCCTGTAGCTCAGGTTTGCAGGAGTAGAGGGGGCCTGCTCTAGTTTCTTTCTCTACATCTAACAACTACTCAGGACAGATGTATATCATGGGTGTTCAGTGTGGATATTATAGCTAACCAACAGTAAAGGAGTCTTTCTCAAATCTGTTTCAGTGGACATGTAGTCGACTGCAGTTTGAATCCTGGACATGGTGTCTTAAACCTCAAGGTGGTGTGTGTGCAAGCGTGCTGGGCATCCCTTAGAGGAGAATGGAGGAGAAGGGATTGCAGCATGGCCATACCCCCGGGGGGTGA